CCTGGTGCTGCTGCCATCCTCCAGAGCTGAGTGTGTGCCTCCCTGGTGCTGCTGCCTGAGCCGAGCCCAGCCCGGCTCTGGGTGAGCCCAGCCCAGCTCTGGGTGAGCTCAGCTCAGCTCTATGTGAGCCCAGCCCGGCTCTGAGTGAGCCTGGTTCTGGGTGAGCCCAGCTCAGCTCTGTGTGAACCCAGTTCTGGGTGAGCCCAACTCTCTGTACACCCAGCTCTGTGAGCCCAGCTCAGCTCTCTGTTAGCCCAGCCCAGCTCTCACTGAGCCCAGCTCTGTGTGAGCCCAGCCCAGCTCTCTCTGAGCCCAGCTCTGTGTGAGCCCAGCTCTGTGTGAGCCCCCCAGCAGTTCCAGTCCAATCGAGCTGGAGCCAGCAGATTTAGCAGAGATTGATTTTCATTTAGAGCAGCCGTGTTCTCCTGCCAGCCTGCAGGAATGCTCACAGCAGAGGTGTTTGCACATCAGCCTGTGGAGCATGGGGATGTAAATTCAGAAACCCACCCTGGTGGCTGGGCTGTGCAGGAAGGACAGGAATTGCCCAGGTAAAACAGGAATTGCCCAGGTAAAACAGGAATTGCCCAGGTAAAACTGAGGAGCTCAGTCAGGATCTGGGGTGTTGCTGTGGCTGTGGTTGGGAGTCAGGGATTCCTGTGCTTGCTCCTGGAAAAGCACAATTCTCCCTCACCTCTCATCAACCAAGGGTGGTAAATCCATAATCTAAGTTGTAATTAGTGGTTTTTGTTAAATCTTTCTTGTCTCTAATATTCTCCTATTCTGAAGGTTGCAGTTTAGGGATTCTTTATATCACACTGTTTGGTTTAATTCACCGTGGGGGATTACAACAACCAGTCTGGTGCAATGCTTGATATTACACTGAAATAGGCATTATGTGGTCAGATTGATGAAAAGATAATTCATTATTTATCTGTCTTCGCATGTTAATTTACTTTATAAATATTAGATATATGTAATAGTGCTCTATAAACACTGAGAATAGGAAATAGTTAGAAATAGATTAAATCAAAAGTAGTTGTGTATTGGAAATTCTATTTCTTTGTCCACTGTAGAAGAATAAAAATCTGCCTGGTCTGAGCTGCATACCAATTTTCTTAAGTTACATACATTTTAAAAACAGTCTCAAAAAGCACTTTTTAGCCAGCAGAATAAAATGCAGCTCTTGGCTCTGTCTGTAAGTTGGAAGTGTTGCTTTCTGGTACTTGTAAGGGTTTTAGGAGAATATCTTCGTTAACTAAATGGAACTCCCATCAGATTGAGGTGCTTAGCAATAATGGATTCCAAGGGTGAAGGATTAAACAGAATACTGATTATTGCCCTAAGATGGTTTGTTCTTAAGTACTTAGAATAATATGAAATCCTTTGATCATAATTTTAGTAAGATTTCTTTGGAGATCAAAGCATCAAAGAAGTTGCTAAATATCTGAGGCTTTCACATACAACATCAAACACATGTAGCTGTTTTCTACTTCTTGGATTTTTGTTTCAGTTGTGATATTATTATACAAATAAAAACTGACACTGAAAAGCTGATTAAATCAGGAGTTTAAAGTGTCATCAATAGTGTATGTAGACTCTAGAGTTATGCAGAATACCATTACTAATTTTATGGACAAATTGATCTTTCTCATAAGAATACATTTTTAAATTTTTCTTTTTAAGTAATGTATAGGGTGAAATTCAAACACTGCTCAAGTAGGGTGTTGGCTGTGTGTCTTCTGAAGCTGTTCACATGTGCAGCCCTGTGTGGAGCAGCAGTGGCACACAGGAGCTCTCCCAGAGGAAGCCTGCAGAGCAGAGAGCAAAGCCATGCCCCCAGTGTGCATCACACACAGGTGCCTTGGTGAGTCTGGGCCCCAGCAGTCTCCTGTCACTTGGAGAATATTGCTGCACTACCCAGCAGAAAGCATGTCCTTGGGTGAGAGAAAGGTGTGATGAGCTTTTTAAAGGAATAACATTTGTGTCTCAGGAAAACCAGCTCTGTCCCTCAGGGAGCCTGGACCTGTTGGCTTTCCCTCTCTCCCTGTTTTGCAGAGGTCTTTGAAATCACAATTGCTGCTGCTGGATCAGTTTGCTGAGGCTGGGGAGTGCTGTCAGCAACAGCCACGTTCGAATCAACAGGATTAATTTTCCTGAAAGATTTGCCTTGGCTCAGCAGTTCTTAACAATTTCTGGAGCAAATCTAATCGTTGCTGTCTGTGAGAGTTTCTCTTCCACCTTCTTCTTGCACTGCTGGAGCCCAGCTCTTCCTCATCCCTGAGCAGCAGGAGTGGCACTGGCCAGGCAGAAGAGGCAAAAATTCCCTCATTCAAATCCCAACCTGACTGGCTCTGCCCTTTCTTTGTTAGCTCCATATTATGTCCACAAAGGTAAAAGAATTAATAACTTCATTGACCCTAAATCCCATGGATGTGAACAAAGCTCCTGTCCTGCTCCTCTTCTAGTTGGTGCATCCCAGCTCCAGCCTGTTACAAATAATCTGTATGCAAGGCATCTTCCATTTCTGCTGTCATTTAGGCTGAAATGCCACTTTGTTGGAGATTATAGCAGCTCCTCATTTTTTTTTCATCTGGGACTTAAATCCTCAGCACATAGTTGTTGTTTTTTTTTCCTAAAATGATTATGCAAATAGCAGGCTATTTTATATCCACTTGGCAAAGCTGGAAGTAAAGTGAAATTTAGAGAATATTATTCAACAATTACTGTTATTTGCATCCCTGACAGCTAAGTTGGTTGAAGGGTTTATTGTTGTGGCTGATTCACATATCAATAGAATTACTGAGCTACAATTTACAGTAACTTTTAGTAATGCAAAAACAGATCAAGTGAAGTCCCAGGCTGATTTGAAAAAAGTGGCAGAAATAACATCTTTTCCTCCTCTTGTGAATAGAACAGGTGTGAACCACAACTGATGGTAAACACAGTAATCACCCATTGCACCTTTTTTGAGTACTGCTTCTTTTCACAAAATCACACTTAAATGTTTGAATGTTTTTCTTCAGCCTAATGCTTTTCATGGTTCAAACTAAACTGGTTCTCAGGCCAAGGTTAAAAATCCTCAAGGATCAATTGCACTGAAAAGAAATGAGAACGCTGGGAAAAGTGAAAAAGCTGTGACTGTACATTTATTAGCAGGGAGATACCAGCATTCTCAAGGGATTATAATACAATAAGTATGATACAAGATTTACTTATTTGGTTTTTGTCAGCCTAAATCTACTCTTGCCAGGTATTTTGAATCAGTGTGTTCTGCTCATGTCAGAGATGAATGCTTAGGGCATGGCTGTAGTTCAAGACAGTGCAATAACCCAGTGCAGAAAATGAGAGTAATGTCAAAGCAAATCTTCCTGAACATGGGCCCGTGTATTTTATTTTTTTTCTCTGCCAAAGTCTCATGGATCTGCCAGCTGAACATGAAATGCATGTAACTTAATTCCTTTCAGACTTCTATACAGAGGATTCTGTTCTGAACTCTGTTAGAGTTCAAAGCAACGGCACTGAGATGTTTCATTCCAATAATATGAGCCAGCCATAATTTAATCTTGAGAGTGAATTTAATTGAGTTATACAATAGGGAATAATACAATAAATAATTTAAGTAGTACTTAATTTTAAAGTGTGTATTTTTTTGGACATCTATAAAATTTATTACGTTGTAGAATTTTTATATGAGATATGAGTGGAGACAACTGGTTTGATTTTTAGCCAGAGTTGTAGCTGACTTGGACTGGGATTCAGAATTTTCTGTTCTTCATTTCATCCAGTGAAAGCACAGAAGGAAAGGCACACCTGAGAAGGGCTGTTGCTTTCCTGCTTCTGTCCCCTGCTATTTCCCAGCCCCAGTAGGCTTAGAGGCAGCACTGCTTGTCCCCCACATCCCTCCCCAAGGGCCCTGTCACTGTCACACACAAGGACATTTTCCCTCTCTGACCAGTGAGAGCTGCTCAGGACACAGCGGAGGGGTCAGTTCTGCAGGGCAGCTTGGCCAGGCTCAGGGACACACAAGCCTCAGAGGTTTGTCTGCAGCTCAGGTAAAAGGCATTTTTTCATGGAAGCAAACACCTCTGCAGCTGTGCTGGTCCTTTTTGAATTCACCTCACTGTGAAGGCATTAACAGCCCTCACCACCTTTGTCTCTCAAAGCAAACAGCAGTGATAATTGAATTATTACCACAGTTATTGGCTGATTAATGAATAGCACCAGGACATGCACATACTAGAGAAAAATACAGAATTAATGAAACCTGAAACAATTATGTTTAAGATCTTGTAAAGACCAAATGAACTGTATTGTTTTGGATTTTTTATTTCCTGCCCTGCTGTA